CGGGAGAAGATAAAGTTGTGCTCCTAAGTGACTTCAATGCCAGAGTTGGAAGATATGCTGACATATGGCAGAAAATCATAGGGAGAAACAGAGTAGGCAAGTGTAATCCTAAAGGCCTACTCCTTCGCAGCAAGTGTGCTGCACACAACCTCACTATCACCAATACCTTGTTTATGCAGGCCGACAAGTTCAAGGGTTCGTGGCAGCACCCACGACCCCAAACACTGGCATCTCATTGACTACATCATTGTCAGAGAAAGAGCTCGCCGAGATGTCCTCATAACCCGAGCCATCCGTGGCTCAGAACACTGTGACACTAATCAGTGGCTCGTCAGTGCCAAACTCTCACTCGTCGTCGCCCCAAAACGGCGAAGGCAACAGACCTCCAGAAGAGGTTTTAACACTTAGGCCCGAATTCAGAACGCTGGTTTGAAACCGCATGAAGATTTAAAGTTTAAACCTTCATGCGGTTTCAAACCAAGGATCGAGCGAAGTTGAAAATTGTTGGTATTCAGAATGCTGGCTTAGTCCAACACAAAGATTCAAACCGGGTTTGAGATAGGATTTGTCGATCCTCGCGTTAATCCAACCTGCAGGTAGGTTTTACCGTCGATTCGTTATTGAAGACAGCAAGTTAACATGAATTTTGACAGCGTGCTTTTCCGTGATATGGAGCATCTACTAGAGAGACCTGTTGGCTATGGTTCACCTCTACCTCCTATTCATCAGCTGATGATTGCTTTGAGATTCTTCACAGTGAATAGTTTCCAGGTAAGAAAGATTCTGGTTACTGAATGAGTTATGGTAATGTGTTACAACTCTTACGTGTTTTGGGTCCATGAAGATCAAGCGGGTAAATGTAAAGAACACAGATGCTTCTTTATTTTGAGTGCTTTTCTTTAGGAAAACTATATTGATGTATTTTCAATATAATTGAATCAATGCTGAGTGCATTTTGATTTCAATGTATTAATAAAGGAAAGTATTTTCTTAAAATTACTAATCAGGGGAAATGTGGGGTTAAATGAACAGAAAGAAACATAACCTAACCGAACCTGGCTAGGTGACTACGCCCTGCATTGATCATCTTACTTTTGTTATAAATACTGACACCTGTCCCGGATTATATCTCTATAATTTGAAGGTAATTGTTCTTCTTCTATGAATATTTTGTTATCATATAACAACACAGCCACATTGTATCACAATGCCACAAATCATTATAATTTGATCATAATTTGATTGAAATTATAGTAACAAAAGTAATTTATGATGTGCAAGGAGAGATGTCTCCTCTTCCATAAAAACTCGTTGAGTCATAGTTGCCGCCATAATCTTGTAAACATTGCTCTCGATGGTGATTGGCTGTCGTAAAGGTATAAATAAAACGTGATTGGCTGGAATTTCAATGTTCGAATCATTGCTCATAAGTGAAGAAAAATCAACAGATTACCCGAACCAGGGCTCAAGACGATGTTTTGAAAATGGGTAATCCGCTGCAGGAAATCACGGATCGAGGAATTCAGATTCGCACACCTGAGATGAGCTCAAATCCCAAGTTCAAACCACTGTTCTGAATTCGAGCCTAAGCATCTGGAGGATCCAGTGGTAGCACATGCTTTCAGAGTGCAGCTCGAACATGGGCTAATAAATAACCCAACAACAAACAACCCAATCCCAGTGCCGAATGGGTTATCCTCGACACTGTTATGACACCAGGACTGGTTTGATGAAAATGACCCGGAAATCAACTTACTCGTCGAGGATAAACGTGCTGATTTAACTGACTGGCAGAACAACCAACTTTAGATCAAAGTTGATACCTTCCGCAAGAAGAAAGCGGCAGCCCACAGCGAATTTCCCAATCTAAAGTACGAATGGTTGAAAAAAAAGCGTGTGAAATGCAAAAATTTGCAGTTCAACACAAGATGCACGGATTACTCAATTCCACTCAAACATTTTATGGGCCAATCACTTATGGCACAGCCCCCCTCCGCTCATCCGACGGTAACTCCCTAATTAAAGATGAAGAGGGCATCCTTCAGTGCTGGAAAGAGCACTACCATTCGCTGCTCAACCGAAACACCGATGTGGATGTCCTGACTACCTAGCAGGACCCTCAGCACCTAGAGCTGACCCACCTTAGCTATCATCCATCCTTGGATGAGGTAGCTACTGCCACCAAACAAAGGAATAATAACAAAGCCTCAGGGCCTGATGGAATACCAGCCAAGGTATATAAAGCAGGAGGACCTCGCTTACCAGCCGTCTCCACTCTCTCCTGGAGTATTCTCCAGGAGAGAGTGGAGACGGCTGGGAAAAGGAGGAAATTACCCAAGCTCTTAAAGACACCGCTATCGTCAGCATTTATAAAAACAAAGGAGACCGGTCAGACCGTGGCAACTACCGCGGGATCTCGCTGCTGTCCATAGCTGGCAAGATTATTGCTCAAGTTCTCCTAAACAGACTTATTCCTGAAAAGGAAAACTCCCTCCCAGAATCTCAATGTAGCTTTAAAACATTTCATGGCACCACTGACAGGATCTTTGCTGCCCGCCAGATACAGGAAAAGCGCAGAGAACAGCGTCGTGATCTGCACATGGCCTTCATCGACCAAACCAAGGCCTTCGACTCGAGTCAACAGGGAAGCCCTCTGGCGGACCCTCAGCCGTTTTGGCTGCCCACCAAAATTCATCGCCATTGTGAGGCAACTCCACGATGGCATGAACGATAGTGTCCTGCATAATAGCACCCAATCTGAGTTCTTCCCCATTCAAACGGGGGTAAGACAAGGATGTGTACTGGCATCAACTCTCTTTTCCATTTTCTTGGCTGCCTTCCTTACTCGTGCCAGTGCCAATTTAGCTGGCAGGGTGGATATCCAGTACTGGATGAAGGGCCTTTTCAACATAAGACGACTCCAGGCAGGAACAAAGGTGTCGGCATCTTCCATTACTGAACTTCAGTATGCAGACGACCTCACCCTTGTCGCTTACACTGAACGTGACCTACAGGAGATCCTGAACACCTATGCAGATGCGTATGCACACTTCGGCCTTGAGGTGAATGTATGTAAGATTCAGATTTTCTTTCAGCCTGCCCCTGGTTCAGCCACACCTCCACCATCCGTCCCTCTTAATGGTACTACCCTCTCTAATATTACTCACTTTCAGTATCTCAGTTCCCACCTGTCCAACATAGCGGACATCGATGAAGAGATTCAACATCAAATCAGATGTGCATTTCAAGCCTTTGGTAGACTCCGTACCCGTGTCTTCAGTTGTAGGGAGCTCTAATTATCTACAAAGTTGCACGTATATCGAGCAATGGTCCTCCCCATCCTGCTATATGGCAGCGAAACATGGGTCACATACAGGAGGCACCTCAAGGCACTTTAAAACTTTCACCAACGTAGTCTACATTCCACCCTCCGAGTTCGCTGGGGAGACCAGGGAACAAATGCCAGTATTCTCGCTGACACCAAGTGTAGGAGCATCGAGGCTACCATTATCCACGAACAACTATGCTGTACTGGCCATTTTACCCGCATGAACGACAGTAGACTGCCAAAGCATCTGCTTTAAAGTCATCTAACGAATATTAAACGTAACGCCGGCGGGCAACTGAAAAGGTATAAGGATAGTCTTAAGACAAACCTGAAAAAGTGCCGAATCAACCCCCTCACGTGGGAGACGATTACTCCACACGGTAACGCTTGAAGGAGCACCACACAAGAAGGTGTCAATTCTTTCGAGTTAGCCCGACTGCATACCGATGCAGACAAACGCCAACGCCCAAACGACGCTGCTGCCGCCGCCCATCCCGCACTTGATGTAGCCCTCCACACGTGCAACATCTGTGGACGACCCTGCCGGTCCCGTATCGGCCTCCCTAGTCACCTCAGAGCTCACCAATAAAGGTGGCATCCTTAATAACTCATATCATTGTATCATAGCTGGATGATCGTCATACTCGATTCCGAGTGACAGCAAAGTAGTAGTGGGGTACACCGGGGGTGTAATGTGGTACAGTGGAATGTGGTGTAGCGCAGTGGGACGTGGCACAGTGGCGACCTGTGGAGTAATGGTTATCTTGCTCGCCTCGCAAGTGAGTGGACTAGGGTTCGATCCCCGGGCAGGGTGAATCTATGGGCAAGTTTCTTTTCGCCATTAGCCTTTGTTTATCGATTTGCGGATCGCGTTCCGGGGTAATGTTTAACCAGTGCAGTTGGCAAGTTATCCGGTCTTCTCGGACAATTCCTTGATACTGGGTCATGCAGCTCGTTAACTTGGGGTGTGGTTGTTGTGTTGTTGACAGCATCTACACCTTAAACAATTTCACGCCTAGGTGACCCTAGGGCCGGCCATCCTCGTACACGAGGGGCAACCATTATTATTACTGTGGTACAGTGGGATGTGGTATGGTATAGTGTGGTATTATATGCTGTTGTGTGGTGTGGTGCAGTGTGGTATGATAGTTTTATTTCGTGTGGTGTGATACAGTTCTGTGTGATGTAGTGTGTTATGATGCAGTGTGGTTTAGAGTGATGTGCTGATATCTGGTGAAGTATGTTGTGGCATAGTTTGGTGTTGCTCATTATGGTGTGATATGGTGTAGTGTGGTGCAGTGCGGTAGAGTGGTGTGGTGTAGTGTGGCGTGGAATGCTGCGGTATGGTGGAGTGTGGTGTGGTGTAGTGAGATGTGGTTTGGGATAATAGGTTATGATGTAGTGTGGATGAAGAGAGGCGGGAAGCTGTGGGTTGTGAATGAGGAATATTTCAGTCAAAGAGTGTAGAACTGTGTGTGTGTGTGTGTGTGTGTGTGTGTGTGTGTGTGTGTGTGTGTGTGTGTGCGTGTGTGTGTGTGTGTGTGTGTGTGTGTGTGTGTGCGTGTGCGTGTGTGTGCGTGTGTGTGTGTGCGCGCGCGCGTTTGAAGAACCTTGATATACTAACTCCACAGATACTGATGTTGCTCCATAATGACCTGTTGTTCTTCTCCAGGTGAGCCCCGGCCACTATCCCACCAAGGTCGACCAGCTGAGGCACGAGGGCGTCCCCACACACCTGCCCAACACATACAACAACAAACAAATGAACCGTCCGCAGCACCCTGGGCGACGAGTCAACCTTTTAGGCAGAAGCGACCCCCGGACTGCTCAGCCCTTGGACTATAACAAAGAAAATATCCAGGTCCCTATTATAAACCGAGAAAACTTTCCACACGCAGGAACTGTGAACCCCAACCGCCTCAGTGAGGACGTTCATTACAATTACGACAGTGAGACGGGCATCCCGCAACCTTTTAGTTCACAAAAAAAGTTTCCCGAAGACTTTATCAGTAATACAATTCAATATCCACAAGATTACAATTACCCCGATAAATTTCCCAAAGAATCATTTACGTCTGACCGATCTTCACAATTCCTTCCTCACCACGAACGATTCCCAATAAACTTGTTTGGCGACGGCCAGTTACCTGGCAACTACAGGCAACACAATATGTTCAGGAATGTAGACAACCAAGACTCCCAAGACCATATGACAGTGCCAGAGCCATTCCTGGAGCCTTACACCATGGGGGATTTCACTCACCAACAACCGCTCGTCAATGAAGAACCATTTGGAGACTTTCAGACTTTCCCTCACCATATACCTGCAGGCGTCCTCGAGAGTGGAGGCAGAGGGTGGCTCCAACCTTCCTTGTCCGGACTCAACTTGCCGTCTTCCAAGAACCTCATCTACTTCTTCACCAATCCTGAAATGACCAAGGAGGGTCGACGAGGTAGTAGGACTATCAGATCCACAGTGCCAGCTCAAGGTGTTGTATCCATGTTGTAGTGTTGTAGGCAGGAGACAGTTCTGGTGTGTGGGTCAACCAACAATATGTAGCTGTACGGAAGGTGAAGGATCCTCACAGGTACAGTGGGTGCATGTTATTAACCTTGTACACTGTCTCCTGCAACACTAGTATACTAACTCCTGCAACACTACACTAACTCCTGGAACACTACACTGTCTCCTGCAACACTTGTATACTGTCTCCTGCAAAACTAGTATATTAACTCCTGCAACACTAGTAAACTGACTCCTGCAAAACTACTATACTGACTCCAGCAATAGTAGTACACTGACTTCTGAAACAGTAGTAGACTGACTTATCCTACTCCTGTATCACTAGTACTCTGACGCCTACAGCACAAGTACATCGACTCCTGCAACACCGGTAAACTGACCATAGGAACACTAGTACACTGACCCCACCAACACTGGTACACTAACTCCTGCAACACCGGTAAACTGACCATAGCTACACTAGTACACTGATCCCAACAACACTAGAACACTAACTCCTGCAACACTAGTGCACTGACCTCCTTCAACACTGGAACACTAACTCATGCAACACTATTGCACTATCTTATGCAGCACCAGAATATTATCTTATATAACAATAGTGCAGTGACCTCCTGTAAAACTTACTCATGAAGCAATAGAACACAATTCCTGCAACACTAGAGCACTGACTTCTACAACACTGCTAGAGTGACTCTTGCAACACTATTTCACTGATTCATGCATCACTAGTCCAATGACTCCTGCAACACTAGTATACTGATTTCTGCAACACTAGGACAATAACTCCTGCAACACTAGTATCCTGACTCCTGCAACAGTAATATACTGACTACTGTAACACTATTACACTGACGTCTACAAGATTAGTAAACTGACCCGTATAACACATGTTTACTAATTCCCGCAACACAGGACACTGACTCCCGCAACACTAGGACACTGACTCCCGCAACACTAGAACACTGACTCCAGCAACACTAGGACACTGACTCTCGCAACATTAGAACACTGACTCCAGCAACACTAGGACACTGACTCCCGCAACACTAGAACACTGACTCCAGCAACACTAGGACACTGACTCCCGCAACACTAGGACACTGACTCCAGCAACACTAGGACACTGACTACTACACTAGGACACTGACTCCCGCAACACTAGAACACTGACTCCAGCAACACTAGGACACTGACTCCAAACACTAGGACACTGACTCCACCAACACTAGGACACTGACTCCCGCAACATTAGGACCCTGACTCCCGCAACACTAGGACACTGACTCCCGCAACACTAGAACACTGACTCCAGCAACACTAGGACACTGACTCCCGCAACACTAGAACACTGACTCCCGCAACACTAGGACACTGACTCCCGCAACACTAGGACACTGACTCCCGCAACACTAGGACACTGACTCCCGCAACACTTCTACAGTGAGTCACATAACATTAGTTCGCTGACCCTTGTAGTACTAGTTTATTGATACTTCAAGCAACGTTTCCCAAGTACATGCACTTCTTGTTCACTAGTACTTGTGTTACAAGAACTAGTGAATTAGAGCAACAAGTCCATTGAAACTTGTCGTACCAGTTAACTAGCACAGTAATTGTAACCCTAGCTCATTAACATTTGCAACACTGGTTCACTAGTACTTGGAGCACCAGTCCATTAACATTCGTAGCACTTTTGCAAAGTCCACTGACACTTGTAGTATTGATTCACGAGTACTTGTGTTTGTAGTACTAGTACATTGATGTTTATAGTACAAGTACACCTGTGTTTGTAGAACTAGTATATTTGTGTTTGTAGTACTAGTGCACTTGTGTTTGTAGTACTAGTACACTGGTGTTTGTAGTACTAGTACACTGGTGTCTGTAGTACTAGTACACTGGTGTTTGTAGTACTAGTACACTGGTGTCTGTAGTAATAGTACATTGGTGTTTGTAGTACTAGTACACTGGTGTCTGTAGTACTAGTACACTGGTGTTTGTAGTACTAGTACACTGGTGTCTGTAGTACTAGTACACTGGTGTTTGTAGTACTAGTACACTGGTGTTTCTAGTACTAATACACTGGTGTCTGTAGTACTAGCACACTGGTGTCTGTAGTACTAGTACACTGGTGTCTGTAGTACTAGTACACTGGTGTCTGTAGTACTAGTACACTGGTGTTTGTAGTACTAGTACACTGGTGTTTGTAGCAATTAGTACGTTGGTTCAGTACTAGTACACTGGTGTTCGTAGTACTAGGCACACTGAAAGTTCGTGTACTAGTACACTGGTGTCTGCAGCACTGGGCTATCTGCAGTACTTTGTACACTGCGTTCCGCCTTGACACACTGGTAAGCCGTAGTACTAGTACACTGGTGTCTGTAGCACTTGTACACTGGTATCTGTAGTACTAGTACACTGGTGTCTGCCTTACTAGTACACTGGTGTCTGCCTTACTAGTACACTGGTGTTTGTAGTACTAGTACACTGGTGTTTTAGTACTAGTACACTGGTGTTTGTAGTAGTAGTACACTGGTGTCTGTAGTACTAGTACACTGGTGTCTGTAGTACTAGTACACTGGTGTCTGCCTTACTAGTACACTGGTGTTTGTAGTACTAGTACACTGGTGTTTGTAGTACTAGTACACTGGTGTCTGTAGTACTAGTACACTGGGTCTGCCTTACTAGTACACTGGTGTTTGTAGTACTAGTACCCACGTACACTGGTGTCTGTAGTACTAGTACACTGGTGTCTGTAGTACTAGTACACTGGTGTCTGTAGTACTAGTACTGATCTGTAGTACTAGTACACTGGTGTCTATAGTACTAGTACACTGGTGTCTGTAGTACTAGTACACTGATGTCTGTAGTACTAGTACACTGGTGTCTGTAGTACTAATCACTGGTGTCTGTAGTACTAGCACACTGGTGTCTGTAGTACTAGTACACTGGTGTCTGTAGTACTAGTACACCGGTGTCTGTAGGACTAGTACACTGGTGTTTGTAGTACTAGTACACTGGTGTTTGTAGTACTAGTACACTGATGTTTGTAGTGCTAGTACACTGGTGTTTGTAGTACTAGTACACTTATGTTGTAGTACTAGTTACCTGGTGTCTGTAGTACTAGTACATTGGTGTCTGTTGTACTAGTACACTGGAGTTTGTAGTACTAGTACACTGATGTTTGTAGTACTAGTACACTGGTGTCTGCCTTACTAGTACACTGGTGTTTGTTGTACTAGTACACTGGTGTCTGTAGTACTAGTACACTGGTGTCTGCCTTACTAGGACACTGGTCTTTGAGTACTAGTGCACTGGTGTCTGTATTACTAATACACTGGTATCTGTAGTACTAGTACACTGGTGTTTGTAGTACTAGTACACTGGTGTTTGTAGTACTAGTACACTGGTGTTTGTAGTACTAGTACACTGGTGTTTGTAGTACTAGTACACTGGTGTCTGGAGTACTAGTACACTGGTGTCTGTAGTACTAGTACACTGGTGTCTGTAGTGCTAGTTCACTGGTGTCTGTAGTACTAGTACACTGGTGTTTGTAGTACTAGTACACTGGTGTCTGTAGTACTAGTACATTGGCGTCTGTAGTACTAGTACACTGGTGTCTGCCTTACTAGTACACTGGTGTCTGTAGTACTAGTACACTGTAGTTTGTAGTACTAATGCACTGGTGTCTGTAGTACTAGTACACTGGTGTCTGTAGTACTAGTACACTGGTGTTTGCAGTACTAGTACACTGGTGTTTGTAGTACTAGTACACTGGTGTTTGTAGTATTAGTATACTGGTGTCTGTAGTACTAGTACACTGGTGTCTGTAGTACTAGTACACTGGTGTCTGTAATTACTAGTATACTGGTGTCTGTAGTACTAGTACACTGGTGTCTGTAGTACTAGTACACTGGTGTCTGTAGAACTAGTATACTGGTGTCTGTAGTACTAGTACACTGGTGTGTGTAGTACTAGTACACTGGTGTCTGTAGTACTAGTACACTGATGTCTGTAGTACTAGTACACTGGTGTCTGTAGTACTAGTACACTGATGTCTGTAGTACAAGTACACTGGTGTCTGTAGTACTAGTACACTGATGTCTGTAGTGCTAGTACACTGATGTCTCTAGTACTAGTGCACAGTGTCTGTAGTACTAGTACACTGGTGTTTCTAGTACTAATACCACTGGTGTCTGTAGTACTAGTACACTGGTGTCTGTAGTACTAGTACACTGGTCTGTAGTACTAGTACACTGGTGTCTGTAGTACTATTATAATGGTGTGTAGTACTAGTACACTGGTGTCTGTAGTACTAGTACACTGGTGTCTGTAGTACTAGTACACTGGTGTCTGTAGTACTATTATACTGGTGTCTGTAGTACTAGTACACTGGTGTCTGTAGTACTAGTACACTGGTGTCTGTAGTACTAGTATACTGGTGTCTGTAGTACTAGTACACTGGTGTCTGTAGTACTAGTACACTGGTGTCTGTAGTACTAGTACACTGATGTCTGTAGTACTAGTACACTGGTGTCTAGTACTAGTACACTGTGTGTAGTACTAGTATACTGTGTCTGTAGTACTAGTATACTGGTGTCTGTAGTACTAGTACACTGGTGTCTGTAGTACTAGTACACTGATGTCTGTAGTACTAGTGCAGCTGGTGTCTGTGATACTAGTACACTGGTGTCTGTAGTACTAGTACACTGGTGTCTGTAGTATAGTACACTGTGTTTGTAGTACTAGTACACTTTTTGTTTTTAATACTAGTAGGCTGGTGTCTGTAGTACTAGTTCACTGGTTGTGTAATGTACTAGTACACTGGTGTCTGTAGTACTAATTCACTGATGTCTGTAGTACTAGTGCACAGTGTCTGTAGTACTAGTACACTGGTGTCTGTAGTACTAGTACACCGGTGTCTGTAGT